AAAAACACTACATGATCTGAATGCTTACCTTACAAACACAAAGCAGAAAATGCAACAAAATGTCTAATGATTATTTCTAGCAACTACTCATATTGGAATAGTTCAGTGGTGATGGTAATCAATCCCTGACTTTTGAGACTTCCAAGCTAACAGCATTTAGCAGCAGTTAACTCTTTAAAAATCTGTTTCTGTCCCATCCCAGCAGCCACAAAATCCCAATTTCCCAACATACAAGATCACATCCTGCACATACAATGTGCCTCCTCCTCACCTTCTATGTGTTTGGCTTCTCAGAACTGTTTGAATCAAGCAGAATCTATTCTGAGAGGTTCAAAAGCTATACAGATGTGGTGAGTCGATGCAGTACAGAACACAACTAGGAGCCTTGGTGCTGGCATGCTGCTAGCACACATTCCTGTACTGGGGGTCACACATTTCCTGCAGCAGCAACACTTCTATGTTGGGAGTCACACCAATTCTAATTAAACAATTCTTCAAGATCACTTATTTCCTTATCCCCAGCAGCCACTGCATAGAACACTAGCAAGGTCTCCAGCATGGTGCAGAGGTACACCACCACAATTTTTACTGTTACTCAGAACAATAAGAAACCCATAGGAAAAAGCAATGCTTGCTCAGATGAGGTGACACTGACCCAGCACACAGCCCAGAACAAGCAGAAGCCAGACCACTTCACTACCAATTCAGTCCTTGCATTTGTATAACAGTCTCATATTTGCCATCTTTATCCTTCTTTCTTTCTTTTTTCACATTCACTTGCAAAGCTGAACACCTTTGTGCAGAAAACAAGGAGAAAAGCTATTCTATCAAACAACTGAAAGCCACCAACAAAATAACGTGCAATGCAAATGTGCTTTGGGTTCTTCACACAATGAACTTTGGTCAGAGCCAACATTTTGAGCGCACAGGTCTAAGTGCATTGGCAAAGGCAGAATCACCGGCACAACCACCTCTCACAGCTCACACAGTTGTCATAGAGACAGATCAGCATCTCGGGGCATTCTCATTTTAAATACGCACTGAAATCCCTTTGAACCTGTCTCTTTGTGGGCATCTGTCCTTGTGATTCATTTATAAACTGCCGAAGCCAAAAAGAGAACCATTTATCAGCAGGTCTCCTCTAGGCAGGCTTGAGCTAAGGAGCTTTTCTATAAACTTGATGGTTCTTTTTTAACAGCAAGTTTCTATCTGATTCTCTGGCTAGCGTTTCTAAAAGCTGTGGTTTGGGGAAGTGATCCAGCTTGAAAGCAACGCGGCCAGGAAAAAAAGAAAAGTTGTGAGGAGTGCTCACTTTGGTTTTTAAACCAGGTCAAATCCCTGCTCCACTTTTATAGCACGAGTGCACCGAGAGCTGCAAGAGGACAGCAGAGGGGTGGCACTTTGTGCTTTGGGGCAGGAGGGAGGCAAGGAGCAGACGATGCCATAAATACCCAAATACTTTGGCTCAAAGCCACAGCATAAAGCAAGTCCTGCCTTTACACCTCAAAGCTGCAGCTCCAAAGGAGAAAGAAAAGAAATACCTTCATCTCTGCTTGCGTGGACAAAGTTCTGTAAGCTCCTTAGCTGCTGAAGATGCAAAGACTTTAAACCTTTAAAAATCAGTGCTCAGCTGCCTTCTGGAGCTAGCAAGCCAGCATATACACTATATAACTATATGCTAGGGAAAAAGCCCCAGAAGACGACTACGGGAACAGCACGACCCCATAGAGCATCAGATATGTGGCTCAGGTTGCACAGAAGGTCCTCAGACTCAAGGTCCAATGGAGGTGGACTCCCCTCTTAAAGACTTTTGAAAGGAAATAAGGGGGAAAAAAAAAAAAAGAGTGGCAGGTCTGCAGGTTGCCATGACCAGGACCAAACTGGAGCAGGAATTCAAAATTTCACAACCCTATAGTGATACTGCATTGACAAATCCTTAGCTTTCAAGACTGCATCTGTAATGTTTCTCGAGGTTTGCTGAGTGATTCAGATGTGCTATTCCCACATTATCCAAAAAAATATTCTTCAACTGTTGAGCTACAGAGATTCCTGCTTCTAAAATTACTGCTGAAGGAGAGCTATGGGCAAGCAAATGCTGCTCTCACATTAGGTCACAAAAATGCGGTAGCAATGTTCAGACAGGAAACTTTCCCCTCGTCACAACATGAAATCATTAAGGTTGGAAAATACCACAAAGATCACAAAGTCCAAATGTCAACCCATCCCCATCATGCCCACTGACCACATGCCTCAGCGCCACAACTCCTCAGCCCTTCAACTCCTCCAGGGACGGTGACTCCCCCATCTCCTGGGCAGCCTGTGCCACTGCACCATCACTATTTCTGGGATGAAACTTTTCCTAATACCCAACGTGAACTGCTTCAAAAGAGAGATGTTCTCAGTTTTGGGGAATTGATCCTAAATTATAAGGATGCTACAGGGTAAAAAAATATCATCGCTAAGGGGAAACTGAGGCAGGCAGGGAGAGCACCAGCCCAAGGCCACCACGGCCAATGGCAAAGCAGGAAGGGAGACTCTTCTCCTAATGATTTTCTTCATACTAACAGGAAGCACAAGAGCACGTCACGCTGAAAAATGGCAGGGTGGGAGTTAGGAAAAAAGCTCATCACTGTTCTGTAGGGAGTGACCCCCAGGCAGAACTCAAACATAACGCAATGTATAGGAAGAGGGCTCACATCCCTTGGAAAGAAAAAAAGCACAGGAGTCACCCATGCCCAGCCACCCCCTCCCTTAATACTATGGGACGATCATTTCCTTTCCTCACATATTTATTTGGAATCAGATAATTCATTGCCCCTAGTTTCCTGCTGGAGTTTGTCTTCCATTGTTCAGGATTTACATTACTCAACAGGAAATCAGTGAGAGGTCCAGAGATTAGAAAGGTGCGTTTCCCATTTGGGCCCACCCCTGAGGCTGGAAGTCAGACCCAGATCAGAGCAGCATCCATGGGAACTCAAAGTGGGGAAACAAAGGGAGACGGACTAATCTCATTCTACTCCTGGTTACAGACTGCTTTGTCCCACCACCATACACTGGATGTGTCCACATACACACCCCTCAAATACTGCTTTTATTCAGGCCTTACATTAACAGCTTTTCCCATGCGTTGAGCAGGACGTAGTTTATCAAATGTAGCTACCATGGCAGCACTTGAAAAGGGTAAGTACAGTGAGAGTATTCCTTGAACTAGAATACACTCCTTCTCAAGGACCATTACTTTCACCCTGACATTCTTGCCAGGGGAGACAGATTCTGTACAGTGTAAAATGCCTCTTGTGAAGTATAATTCAGTTCATCACACCACCTAGGAAGCAGGCTGACTGGGAATGAGCCCCTTTAGAAGTGGCTTTTAACCCAAATCTCACAAGTGATGCTTCAACACTTCCTCTTTCATGGCTCCTCCACAACAGCACAGAGCAAAACAAAACACTGCCAATCTGTTACGGGGTATCACTGGAACAGGATGCTTCCCTGGCCAAATCCTCCCATTTAAAATGTCACAAGTGTTTTAAAACATATCCTGAGGTTAGTTTGATAACAGGTACTAAAGTCAAGCACATAGGGTGTCTGTTCAGCACACTAAGCTTGTGTAATGACTTGTGTAATGCAAACTGCATTTTTCTAGCACTCAGCGTGCTTGGAAACAAAAGCCCAGCTTATTAGCCACTGCATGATAAATATCAATGATATTTATTCCTATCTGTTCCTAAAAAGTTTTAAACAATCTCTGCATGATTTCAAAATGAGAGTCTGATTTCCAAAAATAGTTTAGGAACAGACTGCTTCTTTCAAGCAAAGGAGGACCCTGACCAAAAGCTCTTGTCTCCAGGCTTACTTGTGAGCTTCTAACCAGTCCTTAAGGACCTTCAATGCATGCAGGCAAAACAGCCCTGGCCACCACAACTCTTACACCAGAACATTCATCTTAAAGTATAACCCCCATCTCTGAAATTCAAAACACAGATGTCTCATCCTGTCTGTCCTGGAATGGTGACACTGCATTGCCTCCTCTTTACAGCAGCTCCACCAGATTAAGCCATATGCTCTGCCAAGGAAGTTCACCGATTACAGACACTGGCTGCTCTCCCTCCCTACAATCAGACCATGCTTTCTCACAACTGGAGACAATACTACAGCCCTGAATAAAATGGAAGAATTGCAACATACCTCTTACATACAATAGTCCTGTTTATACGTCTCGGTATGCTAGCTTCTTTCTCAGCAATACAATTATGTTGACTCATGCTCCTTTTGCAATATGAAACAATAGAGCTTCCTTATATCAAGAGATGACTTTGTTTCCTGGTCGGGAAGGCCACTGGGTTCTATAAATTACAGGAATCTCCTATCCACAAAACCTGTCCGCAGCCACCTCAGAGCAGCAGAACCTCAAATGCAGAGTATTTTTGCTGTAGTGATCTAAAATAACTGGATCTACTTGTTGTGTGTGTCATTTCTATTTTACAACCAATACAAGGCTACTCAAATTGTCCCAGACACAAAACCTCCTCACTCACATTTCTTCCCTCTGAACCACACTCACTTATAAACATTAGCTTAGATAACATTCTAGTCATTTTCCCTCTCAGAGAACTGCTATGAAAGAGTGGAAAACACAAGTACTGCAAGCACCACAATAAATGAGGAGGATAACTGTTCACAGTGTGATGTGCACTATGGATATCCAAACGACACTGCTGTGATTGGTTTTGCTGCACCAGTTACTTACCAAGTTTGCTATAGTTTCAGGATTCCGAATAATACTGGAAGATGGACCACTCCTCAAAACACAGCTTTTCATTTGTTTCCTTTCATCCTACCTGGTGCTTTTGGTGCACATTTTTATACTTTGACACCATTTTGATACCATTTTTCAGACGCCATTAGCACACCACCTCACCTTCCTGTTCCAGCCTACCTTTCCCTTGGAGTTGTTATTCTATCAGGAAATTCTAAAGGAATACAACAGCAAATCCCACCTGGTCGAGGCGCAGAGCACCGTCGATGAAGCGCTGCTTGCGGAGGTGCTGGGCGATGCGATGCAGATTCAGCACAGCTTGCTGGATCTCGGCTACTGAGTGCTGAGGGGAGATAGGGGGCAGTTCTTCAGGTGAGAACACCTTTGTGGGGTTTTCTATCATGCTCTGTGCGTGGTCGTAGCTCAGCTTTGCACAGGAGCAGATGACTGTCCGCCCAAACCATTCGTCAAGGATCTGCAACACAGGAAAGTATAGGCAGGTCTAAAGGCTTCCACTGCACAAAAGCTTGAGAGGTTGTACCAACAGTGAAAAGAATGACAACAGACCTCACCACTAATTTTCATTGCTGAGTAAAGCTTCTCATACTGAAGCAATCAGAAGGCTCTTTAGATTCTCTAGCAATGTGTATAGGCATGATAGTCTTTCTCTCACACTGGAAATGGCCCCAGTCTTCTCCCCCTACCTGGATTCCCTCTTTGATAAAGAACTACATCAGAAACCAGCTAGCAGACTCAAAGCTCAATAAATGCAGGGGTGGCAACAGACAGAGATACCTGCACATGCAAAGAAGGATCTCTTATCTGAAAACAGAAGATTGCTTGGAGATTGGGCACGAGGGGCTGGCCCTAAAGGACTGCTGTGTGGTCACATTCACACAAAGCTACAGGGACTGTAGCGTCTGCCTGGCATTTGTGAAAGTGCATGAATAGGATTTTGGTGGGTCTGGAGGAAAGATGGACTGCCACTGATCCCTTAGTTCTCCTAATAAGCTTATGGTGTGAGACCAAACTCAAGCCAGGAAGTGTTTTAAGCTCCCAAAATAATTTCAGAATCTAGAGGAAAATCATGGAAAAATCACTTACAAAATTTTAAGCAGAAGTCACTCCCATTTTAAGCTCCATACGAGAAAACCAGTGTGAAAGAAGCGATTCAGAATTATTCCTTAGTGCAGAAGGGATATATAAGAACTCAAAAGCTCATCTAACCAGTGAGAAGGTGCAGAGGAACAAAGGGCTGAATGCTCTTCAGAAAAGTCAAGAGCACTGGCAGGAGGAGGGCTCTGGAGAGGGATGCAGCCTGTGATCAACCATTCAAAGCACAAGCGCTCAGCCAATGAGTGGAGAATTGTAATTCTGTGTTAGGTACAAGTACCACCTTACCACTTCATCAGCACAAGAGAATAAGGTAAATCCTGCAAGTGACAGTGTCTGTGAAGCACAGCCATCTGTAAAACAGACTCTTCAAGGACATTGCTTTTTCTCTTAAAAAGAAAGGACTGAATCCCCAAGACATCTCTGCTGTCTCCCTCCCCATGCCCCCTACTGTAAGTACAGTACAGCTCAGATCTCTGAAAGTCTCAGGACATTTAAGCTCATTTTCAATAAGAAAGTGTCCTGATGGACAGGATGCAGCAAGTGGTACCTTGTGATGTGAAGTGCTCAGATCCTCAGCTCATGGTTATTGCGTGTGTGACCCCTACCTACACACAAGGACAAACAAAGGAAGAGAAAGGCACCAAGCTGGTCAGAAAGGTGCTGCAAAATTCCTGGCAGCACCTGCTCCATGCTCTGTTGCATCCCATTCAGTGTGGTTAGGCTTCTTGCAGTGATGAGGGATCCATATCTGAAAGGTCAGCAACATCTGATGACATCTGCCAGATACCCAAAATCTCCTGATATTAAACAACCAAGGGCTGTGATATGGAAGAAGCTGATCTGCACTTTGAGACTGACTTTTCAAATTATTAGTTAGCTGGTAACAGTTACTTCAGACTTACAGTGCAGGGATGGTAGTCAGGCACCAAGAAAGTTCCTTGCTGAGAAAGGCTGAGCAGCCTTCACTTGAGCTGAGCACTTCTACAGAACCTCCAATTGCAATAGGCAACACTTTTCAACTTGCTGTTCAAACGCTTTCAGATGCTGCTCCTATTTCCTGTCAGCTGCTACATCTCCTGCTATTAACTTCTGCACTTCCAGCTATTAACTTCTGCACCAAATGGCACTATCAGCTCATGTGTGCCAAACTCTCTGAGAAGGAGCACTTTCTCCAGTCCCTGGGCTAGCAGTGCAAGCCAGGTCTGACAATACACGGTGCTTTTGGTCACTGATTTCCAAGAACTTGCTCTGTTCCTAGCAGGAGGCAATGAACCGGATTTCCACTTTGCTGCCTGAACTTGAAGCTTTCAACAAAATCTTATTTTTCTGCTTGCTCAGAGGAGGCCAAATATTTCAGAGCTCCACTCACTTCCTTGTAAGATGAGAGATGCAGCATATTGAGCCCCAGGAACAGAACAAGAATGTCAGATCTCAGGCTACATTCAGATTGTGCTTCAAAACATCAGCAGACAGTAACAAAAAGAAGAGTTCCATCGTTTGTTTGTAATATAATATATAAAGAAAGATGTAATATCTTTCTGGTGACTGCAAACAGGTTCCAAACAAGAACGTGCCACACTGTTCCTAAAAACGCCCAGCTCTGCATCTGAACAGCAGCACAGGCTCAGCAATACAGCTAATGCCTTTGCCCTTGGAAAGTCATCCCAGACACATCACGCCACACTGTCCCACTGGAGTCCATGGAGCTACGTGGAGTACTGCTCAGGCAAAATTTTGTTACACTCCTGGTGTTACACTCCTGATGACAACTCCAGAATGCAAAAGCTGAGCCTGGCATTACTTTTCTATAAGAAACATTAAACAAAAATTCTACCAACAGCTGCATTCAGGAGAGGAACCTGCTGTCTTTTCCCTGGGAGATGCACAGGCTCTGGACGTACTTGCTTTGGAGCACTGACAGTGGGAGCTCAGAGGGGAAACGCAGGAGATCTATTCTGTCCCACCTCAGAGACAAGCTCCTCTTTGCATCAACTGACTTCAGCCAAGGCTGCCATCCCTGCAAAGCCTCCAAGGAGAAACCCGGCTGCTCAGATACCTGCATGCAGTCTGCTTCCCCAGGTCGTGTCCCAGAGCACTGCTTCTGCTGGGATCAGTCACCTCCATAGGCAAAGCTTGGTGCTGTGGTCCTCCTACCTCCTTACTGGCCATACAGGGTCAAATACGAATGCTATTTGAAAAGCAAATAGTGGGTACATTGCAGGGAATAAGAGACAGAATTTAATTAAAAGCTTATTTTAATTAAGACTTGACTATTAGCTGTCCAAAGAGCACTCAGAGTCAATAAAAGCCCCACCAAGTAGCAACAATTAGAAGGTCCCAGGAGTAACCATGCTGCCGCTACAGGAAGCGAAATCTTTTTCACGGTGAACAAATAAAATCCACTTCAGTGCCAGAGCTGGAGAGACACAGATACAGGACTGAAACCACATTTTGTTAAAGCATAAAAGAAGATTCAGTATCCATTAGGGCAGCATGGACCCAACGATCACCACAGAGGAGATTGCCGGGCTGTTACTAAGATTGTAGGAGAGGGAGAGAAATCAAGAGAGTTGAAGGCAGCTTGCTGCACAGCTGATCTCCAGGAATAATACAGCATGTAGGGGATGGAGCTGTGCCTTTGCTGAAGAGCTATCACACTTTACATGTATCAATGTAATTTGCAGCACAGATGAGGAATAAAAGACTCTGTTTACCAGGGAGACCACAGAGGGATCCTTATCCACCGCAGAGCACAACTGCCTGCAAGCACAATGCAGGGTTGGATTCAGGGAGAAACATCTTGTCCCAGACTACTAGCTGTGCCTGACTGCTGGAAATATGATATTAACTGTATGAGTGACCTGGCACGGAGCTGGAAATCCTCCATTTCTAACATTCATACAAATGCTCTTCCTTTTCCTACCACGTTGTGAGATTTTTGCAGTCATCAGTAAGACAAGATATAGGGACAGTCCTACATCCTCTGTTACTGCTCTCCAATAAGTCCCTTGCTATCCAGCTGGCAGTTATGGGGTGGCATTTTTACCACTCTGTTTGCAAGGTTAGGTTCTGGCCACTGAGGCAGGACTGATGAGCAGGATGCCTGCTTTGCTGCTTGACTTACCTTGCCTTTTGGAGTCACCTTCCACATCACAGAGAACGTCAGCCGGTCTCGCATGGGATTGAGACTGCACAGCTCCTCACAGAGCAGCTTGGGAAGCATTGGGATCACCTAAAAGAGAAGAGGAAACTCAGTGCTGAAGAAGCATCGTGATGTCAGTAAGAACCTGAAGAGCTTGGATTTGGGAACTGCACCTTTTGCTTTGCCACTAATGACTGCACCAGGCAAGTAATGCAAGTCTGAGGCTGCTTTCTGCAAAGCGTAAATGAAATTTCTCCCATGCATCACAGGAGCGTGCACGGCTCTAATAAGGATTGAGCTGTGCTTTGCAGCACAGACAGGAATGCATAGATGTTGGGGAGATAAACAAAAGCACCTGTTCTGTGACTACTGAACACGGTGTTTGCAAACAGAAGGAGAACAATTACTATTTTCCTGTGTTAAGCTCTGCTTGAACAGAATGTCAGCCAACAGAAATTCCTGGCAGAGATGTTTTCGCTTGCGCTCTAATTCCTTACAACCAATCAATATTGCAGCTGTTGATCACTGAATTTCCAAACTACATATTACTCACACGACTGCAGCAGCAAAGCAAAAGTGCAGAACGTATAATCATGGAATCATTAAGGTTGGAAAAGACCTCTAAGATGGTCAACTCCAACCTCAGCCCATCCCCACCATGCCCATAACCACGTCCCTCAGTGCCACATCTCCTGAACAGCCCCAGGGATGGTGACTCCTTCACCTCCATGGGCAGCCTGTGCCAGTGCCTCATCACATATTCACACTATAGCAAAGCTGAGGAGCTCCAAGTCTTTCTGCCTTCCCTGAGTTATTTCCCATGTGAAGCCAGAAGTAAAGCCAATATTTAGAAGCAGTTTAATGAAGCAAACCTAATTATTTATAGCTCAACATTCTCATTTCTCTTCTCATTATTTACCTTTATAAGGAAGCAGTAAGTGCCCTCAAAGAAGAAGTACCTGCTTCCTGGTTCTACTCTGGGTGGTAAGGTGGGCTGGTACTTTCCAGAGAAGCACGGAGAGAAATGCTCTACACAAGTTTGCCACAAAGATATTTCAGCTATTTAATTCACCTTACTTTTGACTGCTCTACTGTGCACCATACAGCACAGGAACAGCAGCAACCCCAGCTCTTCCAAACTCTGTCGCATGGATCTGGTGATTTCACAGACAACGCTTTACATCTGGGTGTGAAGGAAACAACTGCTCTTCAACACAGAAGAAGAAAAAAAAGTCTCAGACGCCCATTTTCTCCTTAAGTGCACACAGTTGATATTTACCTTTTGCTTTGAAGGAAAGACTCCTAAAATATTTAATCACATTTGTGGTTTGGCACCGGGTGATGGCCATAAATCCATTCTAATTGCACTGTATATTAATGCCAAGAGGTTAACTGTACGGTCTCCAACTATCAAGGAGTCCCTTTCAACATGAATCAGCAGCGCCGGTTCAGCTGGGAGGTCACAGGGCACACATTATGATAAGCTGTTTCCCGCAACACAAAGGCTGTCAGCTCTGTTATTCCAGTTGTGCAAAGCACATTAACAATACTCATACATTCATAACTGACAGATTTGGTACGTGAGGGCTGCCATGCTGCCTGGAAGGGCCCACGCCACAGGGTTATAAATGTAGCCCAAGCGATGCCAGCCTGTAGCAGAAAGGAGAGAAAATAGCTTTCTAGACTATCCCTGCCTGTCTAGGATTGCCCATGACCTCCATGAGACCCCGAAGCTCAGGTCACAGTGAACAACGTGCTGGCAATTTAATAAAAGCTCCCAACCCTTTCCCATCCAAATTAAGGATGCTGTTACAAGCATCTGCCTCCATCTCTCCCCATTTGCCTTATGATTAATTTTTTGGCTCCCAGAGATGATGTTCTGTACTTACTGAATATCTTCATGCCTTTGCACATCCTCTCCCTTCACTTCTCCTGAGGCAATAACAGTCTGCTAGCAAAACGCCGACATGAAACATGAAAGCCCATCCACAAAGAACAGCCCGAGTGAAACAACAGGATGCGTGTTTTAAGTGTACTTGAGCAGGATTAATATCCAATTCAAGAGGCTATAATTCTACGGAAGGGCTTTCAATGATGTGAAACACAAGCAAAGCTTTAACTCAGATCATAATTACAGTGCTAAGTGCTCACTGAGAAATTAGCTATAACAAACCTACTGTTAAAAGGAGAAGCTCCAACCCATGTCACCCTTGTTTTGCAGGGAAGAAACTTCAGGCAAAGCAACTTAACCCAGGCAAGAAGTCTCCAAAGACAGCAAGAATTTCCTCTTCTGGCCTGATCCTCAGTGTGATTCAGTCACAGTCAAAAAGGATTCTTAGTAGTTGCAAGCCCAGCATTTAATGTACAAAGACATCACAATTGTGTCAAATTCAGAGAGTGAGATGTTATCCCAGGGGCTGCCCCGAAGGAACCGTTGCAATAGGATTATTTTCATCTCTTTCTGAAAGAGACGCAGGATGAGAGGAGATTTCCTTAAGCATGCCTGTAACGCCCATGGAAGTTTTACAAGATAGCAGGGTTGCATGGCATCACCTCAAAAAAGCTGGGAGCAGGGGGTGCGTAAAAGTAGCTGGACCTAGAAGTGCAGTTAGAGCAGTCCAGAAGGGCTAGGGAAAAAACTTTCACCATGGAAATAAAGGACCCGCAGCCCTCGGAAATCCTTTTTACTGAACATATCCTAGAATCAAGGGCTGTAGAAAGGCTTGTGCTGTCTGGTTTCCAAGCCCATCTCTCACTCAGACCAATAAAAGACATCATCTCTTCCCACCAGCCTAGCAGGACCCAAGGGATACGAAATGGGCACTTCTTCCAGCAAAAGGCTGATATCCACCAGGCTCACAGTTGCAAGTCTGCATTTCAAATCAGACCACATTTCTCTCTGTGTGAAATCTCCTTAGGCCCACTGCTGCTGTACCTGGCCGGAGCAGCAGAGCTCCAGCCCTGCCAGCCCCTTGCACAGCCAGGCAGGGGAAAAGCCAAAGTTGGACAAGGCACTGCAGGGGGTTTCCTACAGCACCGTCACCCTGGGCTTATAAAACGCCTGGCCTTCTTACCATGGCCTGCAATGTACTTAACAGTTAGACCTCAGATGGAGGAGTCATTTCAGGCACAGAAACATCTATCCAACCTCCTGCTTGCAAGAGCCCTTTGGGCTGTTTTTTTTTTGTTTTTGCTTTGCCTCTTAGGCTAGCAAAGCATTTCCAGCATCCAAGTGCGAATTTCCAGCCTTAGATTTGTTCCTTGGGAGCATAAATACCGGGGTGATAAAACTTCACATTGCCTCTGAAATCAGAACCATCTGCTGCAGCCACGACACTCACTGGCCAAGTGCAGAGCCCAGTAGCCAGGGCGGCTCTGCTCACTGGACTTGTGGAGCAGTTTTGCAAGGAACAGAGGAGGAAAAAAATCAATCAGACCAGCAGGGAAAAGAGAACAAACTCCTCATTTTCAAAAGCCACACAGACAGTTTTGCTCGTCTCAAATAATCCCATTCTGCAACTGCCCTGCTGGTTGGTACAACCACTGTTGACTCCTGGGGTGACCTCATCTCTCCCATGGATCCTATGGGGAGGGACTGCATCAACCAGGAGCGCCCACCCCAGCACCAGGAGGAGGGTGCCAAGGTCTAACAATGGGGCGGGCTCAGCAAGCCTATTGCTTACACACTAACAGACACTCAGAGGAAATAGGCAATTTGTTTATGAGCCAAGATTTCTGCTTAAGAGTTATATCAACACTTCCATGAATTCAGATTTTGAGCAACTCTTTGTTACTCAGCCTGAGATTATCAAAATATCAACACCCCGACAACCTGCTGGTGTCAGAAGTGAATGTCTCGAAGCCCTGGGACTCAGCATGGAGATAGACTTACAGATCACGTCTTTGATCTCGAGTATAAAATAGTACCAATAAAATATTACACAGATTTATGGCTGACCTCTCATTCGAGCTGCTTCACACCTAAAATAACACTAAGGGATGTGCCAGAAAAGAGGAAACTGTTTAGGTTTTCTCGCTTCTTAAAATTTGATACACTCTTATTTCAAAAACTTTTGACTTTTATTGAATAGACCGCTAGCAATTACACAATAACTCCCCTTCTGGATACATGTCTCAGGAAAATTAAATATGTGGCTTACTTAACTTCTTTGGGAGGATTAGCATGGTGCTAACCTCTAGCAGAATCACAGCTGTCTTAGGAAACAATTCCATCAAAGGAAAGCATATTTTCTACAAGAGTCACACTACCATCTTGTTTTCAGACTGCTGGCTGCTTTCCTTTGCCCATCCTCTTGCTCCTTTTCATCTACTGCAATTAAAATAGTGACCAACGTTGTGCTTTAACAATCTAACCTGGTTTGTACTCTTAAAATGCATTCTCTGCAAGGCAGTAGAGGGAGCAAAACACTATCCCTGGCTGAGAGGCCAAGGCAGGTGAAGAGCAGTTGGAGATAATGGATGTGAAAAGGTAACATGTAACTTATTGTAGGCATCACACATGGCTGGTGCTTGGGGAAAAAAAGCACTTAGAAGGAACAATTAACTTTTGAATTTAGCTACATTTTCATTAAAAATGTTCATTTAAAAAAAAATCCTTCTTTCCAAAAAACTACATGCCTTTAAGCACGAGTGACATGGTGAGCGACAGCATAGCATTAAGTCTTGTGTTTGACTACACCAGTTCATCAATTTTTGTAGTTTTCTTGCAATAGTAACCAGACTTTGATTGATGACATCTGAAAACAAACTTGCAAAGGTAAAAGGAAAAAACAGTGCTCAGAAGAAAAGAAGAAAAGTCGTTCCTACCTTTTGCACTAAATAGACGCTCGTTGCCCTCTCGCTCGCCACTCTATCCAGTGCTGTTTCTTCCAGTACAAAGTAGCTTACATCCGCAATGTGAACACCCACTTCAAAGTTCCCTGAAATCGTACAAGGAAGTCAGTAGGCTGCAGGTAGAAATTCAGGCATTGAGGGAACTGGGGAATAGGGAATAATTCAATCCAGAAGTTACTTTTCTGAGGAAAAGAAAATTATTAAAAAATAAAAACAAACAGTTTTATGATCACAGCATTTTCTGCCGGATCACTTCTGGGAGACATTTCTTGTGACGTGTGAGTCCTATACCAGCTGTACCACCAGGGCTAGGGAGACAGTAAAGAAAAGGAAAAGACAATGACAATGTGATTTTCACAAATCTGTTTATCATTCTGACAAGTCCGAATGCTTTTGCATTTTGATCTCTCTGTATTATTCTATGTAAATACTCTGACTCTTCTCCCCCATATGCTATGCCTATAGCTCACAAAAATGGTATTTCCATCCATCTCTTCCCATCTGAGATGAAAACTATGGTTTCTCAGAACTACCAAATTCACCACCACTGTGACCACAGCTTACCTCATCCCACATCCACGTATGAGAGGCAGTGGTGGACGCGTGCAAGCCTTTAAAAACCATGTGGCTAAGTATTCACAGCCAAGAGCTTATAATAGTGAGTGCTGCTGCCAGATATGGGATGTGGGACCCCACCTTGCAACCCCCCAGGCAGTACAGGACCCAAGTTTTGAGCCTGCCTTGGGATCTCAGATCTGTACTTGCTTCCAATTCTCTCTGGGTCAAGTGCAAATTGCTGCTGATGTCCACAGAAGTCTTAAATAATTTATTATCAGGCTATGCAGAAATGCAGCCTTCCACAAGAATATTCTCCCTGTTATCCTGCTTTATCCTCAGATTAGGCTCTTTGTCCTGCAACTACAGTCTACTCTGAAAGTATCTTAATTCAAAAGTTAGGCTAGAGAGGAGCATTACTGAGTTTATTGTGAGGTTTCAGCAATAATTTGAATTTGGAAGTAGCGATCATCCTCAGCCTTGGAAGTAATTAGTACTTCAGTCCAAAAAATTCTGGTCTGCTAATCCTCAAAGGAGCCCATTGACCTTTGTTTTCTCTGGAAGAACGAGACTAGATTTGAGGTGCTTATTTGTAGAATAGTTCTAAGTGTGGCGGGTTCCTAATTATAACATTCAGTTCTTTAGAGGAATTCACTAACTTTGTGGTATCTATAAATATTTTTTCTTTCTTCTGTTTTTTCCAAAAAGACAGCATAATAAGATACCATCCTGGTTCTAATCCTGTTTGTTTATACACCTTGCGAAGGATATTATCAAAGCCTTTCTCTCAAGTGTCACATTTTTGAAGGACAAATTGTTAATAGCTGATGTCACTATGCAGTGTATCTGCCTCGGTGTGCACCCAATGGGTAACAGTGCTGGATTTCAGCAGAGCAGGAATGGGAAGAGGTGAATCATAGGTCATTACGCTTGGAAAAGACCTCTAAGATCACCAAGTCCAACCCCAACCCATCCCCACTGGACCCAGTGACCACGTTCCTCAGTGCCACACCTCCAAGGTTCTTGAGCACCTCCAAGGACAGTGATTCTACCACTTTCCTGGACAACCTGCAACAGCTCCTCCAGTCAGTTTTATTAAGCTGTGTTTACATACACAAAGTACTCTATAAGTATTTTCTTGCTGCTTTCGTACCCTTGATAGAGCAGAAAATCACATGGAAGATGGGAGCACTGGGGTTTAGGTTTTTCCACATAACCTATAGTTGCTGGAAAGTCCTGCAGAGAGTAAATATCATGGCAGCAGGAGGAGAGGGCAATAATGCCACTGCACACCAAGGGACAAATTCCACCACTCAGAAAGCTGGGAGAAAAGGCTGCAGATTAAATGGTTCACCTCAGAAAGCTGCCTACAGCTGTGTTGTGATATTATCAGATGCCCTGAAAGCTGCTCTACGTGGATTAGGCATCCAAGCCTGAAACTACTTAAACAGTAAGTCTTAGACTAACAGTTCAACCGACAGGTCTAATATTACACACTCTTGAAGCCAACGCACTCAGAAGGTAAAAAAATATTGAACACTTTGAAGTCAATATTGTAATGTATTGACCCTGCAGGCAAATATTGACCAAAGGAAAGGAGAGGGGGTCATTACATCATGCCTTTAATCGCACTTTAATTCAATATGTGCGCTGTTACATACATGAACTTTTTGTCCTCGGTAGAAAATTGACAAACCAAAAAAGATCTCATTGCATGAGATAATAAAACATGGAGTTGGCCAACGAAAACACGTCGTGCGGAGTTGAATTTCACTCAGGTTTCCCACCAGAGGTTCTAAAAGCTGGGGTCAGCACGAGCCCCCTGCTTTTGAACTTTTAATAGAAATTCTATCTAAATATTTTGTTACATACATTGACATAATGCAAACTGGCAGCTCTTGGGTTTGCCTTGCTCAAGTATGAATCACCCCATTTCCCTCATCCCCCAACAAACTCAGACCAAGAAAAACTGAAGATACAGACAGCGATCAACTAATCTGATTTCCCCTGGATGTGCTGCAGAAAATACCGGCCTAAGCCTGCACAGAAATACCTGCTCTCTAGTGCTCTCCTGGTTTATTGGCCAATTAAAATGAATAGTATTTCTCTATCTACAAAGTTCTTCCACTAGGATTCTCTTCGAGGTCCACAAACAGTTTTTCCAGTCTCATTAATTTTTATGACAAACACAGAAGGAGCATTTCACATTGTAAGCCCTATGCTATTTCCCAAGGAAAAAAGAATATGTGCCTTGAATGAAAGGAAAAGAGAGTTAAACCCTCCCACACTGAAAAAGTCTTGCCACAGAGAGGAAAGGGTCGGCAATGCATGGACCAGACACTACACACTGCTATACTGCCTACTCCACACGCATTTTGATGACAAAATCTACTTCTCTAGCAAACATAGGCTTCGTATCTTGGCATGTAGTTCTCCATCCTGATTTCAATCTAAATTTCTCACAGAAAGGTGTATGTTACAAACCACACATTTGTCTGACCCAATTTACAATTCTACAATGAACCTAAAGCTGCACAACAAGCCCTAAAACTAGATATACACTACTATTTTAATGACCTTTTTAATTTCTTAGAGTATCTGCTTAAGAATATGTGGGGGATTAAGCCTGACACTTCATATAGCTGATACACTTAAGCAAGAGCAAAAGAGAGCATCTATTGTAACAAGGTGCTCGGAGGGCTTCTTTCATTCAGGATCTCATAATTTCATTCATTTAAAATCATTTCATTTGAAGGTGGGTGCAGAACTCCATCACTATGAATCTAAAGAGTGGGAGACAATTAGCAATAGACAATGCAGTTTAGAATTGAGCAACATGTGGTATATTGGCCAACTGCACCCTATTTGCCTAGTTTGCACAGGCAGACCAGGCAGCAGAGATGGATAGCAGAGGGGAGTATTATTTTAAAGGAGGTCTGCAAGTATGAAGAGGGAAATAGCTGGCCAAATCACTGACCAAAGAAACTCCCAGGCCAAAACTCTCTGCAAAAGGGATGGATGGGATTTGTGGTGACACTACATGCAGAGACGACCATTTCCTTTTTTGCTGACCACAGCATGAGTGGCTGGAATGGCAGAATGAAACGGACCTGAAATTCGCCAAGTTTCTTGAAGCCTGGATCTCCTCCGAATGCTTACCAAATGGCAAAGCTGCATCCCCCAGCACAATGCTGTGCTTCTTTAGAGAAGGTTCAGCTCCTTGATCTGAGAATCCGGTTTGTTTGAACTCACTCCAAAACCCTGTGTGCGTAACACTGATACGATGCTAAAAATCAAAGGACAATGGTTCAAGTGTGGCACCTAACAGAAGAACAAAGAACAAGCTGTTTCTTTTTTCTTCACTGATGATCTCAAGTACTACAGCAAAAGAGTTCAAAGACCTTTCTTCTTTTTTGTACAAAAGACAACTCTAAACAAAAAAGATTACCAAGAAGGAACTGGAAGAAAGGAGAAAGACCTTTGAGTCTGTAAATGTTCCATAAAAACCGTCAACCCAGCAAGCTGTATCAAGAATTTGCTCCAGGAATCAGAAAGTTGGGTTGAATATATCAGAACAGCAGTGAGTTAACACGACGGCAGCAAACCCTTCTCCATCTTCAGCACCCTAGTCACAAACACAGAGGGGAAGGCCAAGCACATTCATTTCGTACTCTGGCACATGTAAATTTTTGGACCACGGAATTTAAAAATGCTACTCCTTGAGGATAAGACAGCAACAGGTAATTCTCCAGCACATGGATACACACTCCTTTATTTCCATCTCACCTTCAGTCATCACCCTTCTCAGGAGAGAATACAATCAACCAGAGTGTTACGTCAACTTCAAATCCAATACCAAGTTTCTTGTGCTAACAACTATTTCTGGAGACGTCTGTTACCTCTCAGTTAGGGAGATACAGGAAAGTTCAAAGCAGGTTGCAAAGAATTTGCTCCAGACAGAAAACAACCAGCTGCTTCCAGCAATTAAAGGCAGTTGACTTTTCTGAGGTTAGGCCAAACTCCTGCAGCAAATAATTACAGCTCTCCCTCATTCTCTGCCCTAGGGGTAGCTGGTGCTGCTCACTTATTTGCAAAGCAGTGCTTAGCATCTAGCAAAAGCAGGAAAAAGGTGCTGGAAGTAGCTAAGGATCATTGCAGATCATCAGCATGTGCTTTTAAATGAAAGAGCTGACCCATGCACAAGCATCTGTTTCTCTTCAGGACATGCATGTACTACATGGGTACATCGATAGTCCGGGCATGGCAGCGCTCAGGTTGGGACAGGGGCAGAGAGAATGACAGCAAAAAGAAAAAAGAAAAAAAGAAAAAGGAAAGAAAAAAAAAAGAAAAAAAAGAGCAATATGGAGAAGAGGAGAAGAGATTAACACAAAACTTACAAGTGGAACTGTGGGAACAGCAAGTTATTTGTCTGCTCGGGAGTCTGAAGATACAGGTGGGTGGCTTTAATTCTCAGCTGAGGTTACTCTTCAAGCACAGGAAGCCAAGCTATTGTTCAGAAAATCAGTGTGCT